TTCTGTCTATTTGGGGTGGAGAGTTCTGTAGCTGTCTATTAGGTCCACTTGGTCCAGAGCTGAGTTCAAGTCTTGAATATCCTTGTTAATTTTCTGTCTCATTGATCTAATATTGACTGTGGGGTGTTAAAGTTACCCACCACTATTGTGTGGGAGTCTAAGTCTCTTTGTAGGTTTCTAAGAACTTGCTTTATGAATCTGGTTGCTCCTGTATTGGGTGCTTATATATTTAGGATAGTTAGCTCTTCTTGTTGCATTGATCCTTTACCATTATGTAATGCCCTTCTTTGTCTTTTTTATCTTTGTTGGTTTAAAGTCTGTTTTATCAGAGACTCAGATTGCAACCCCTGCTTTTTTTTTGCTTTCCATTTGTTTGGTAAATATTCCTCTATCCCTTTATTTTGAGCCTATGTGTGTCTTTGCAGGTGAGATGAGACTCCTGAATACAGCACACTGATGGGTTTTGACTCTTTATTCAACTTACCAGTCTGTGTCTTTTAATTGGGGCATTTAGCACCTTTTACATTTAAGGTTAATATTGTTATGTGTGAATTTGATCTCATCATTATGATACTAGCTGGTTATTTTGCCTGTTAGTTGATGCAGTTTCTTCATAGTGCCAATAGTCTTAACAATTTGGCATATTTTTGCAGTGGGTGGTACTGTTTTTTCCTTTCCATATTTAGTGCTTCCTTCAGGAGCTCTTGTAAGGCAGGCCTGGTGGTGACAAAATCTCTCAGCATTTGCTTGTCTGTAAAGGATATTATTTCTCTTTCACTTATGAAGCTTAGTTTGGTGGGTTATGAAATTCTGGGTTGAAAAATTCTTTAAGAATGTTGAATGTTGGCCCCCACTCTCTTCTGGCTTGCAGGGTTTCTGCAGATAGATCCACTGTTAGTCTGATGAGCTTCCCTTTGTGGGTAACCTGACCTTTCTCTCTGGCTGCCCTTAACATTTTTTCCTTCATTTCAACCTTGGTGAATCTGATAATTATGTGTCTTGGGGTTGCTCTTCTCAAGGAGTATCTTTATGGTGTTTTCTGTATTTCCTGAATTTGAATGTTGGTTGTCTTTCTAGGTTGGGGAAGTTCTCCTGGATAATATCCTGAAGAGTGTTTTCCAACTTGGTTCCACTCTCCCTGTCATTTTCAGGTAGACCAATCAAATGTAGTTTTGGTCTTTTCACATGGTCCCATATTTCTTGGAGTCTTGTTCATTCCTTTTCATTATTTTTTCTCTAATCTTGTCTTCATGCTTTATTTCATTAAGTTGATCTTCACTCTCTGATATCCTTTCTTCCACTTGATTTATTTGGCTATTTATACTTGTGTATGCTTCAGGAAGTTCTTGTGCTGTGTTTTTCAGCTCCATCAGGTCATTTTTGTTCTCCTCTAAACTGGTTATTCTAGTTAGCAATTCCTCTAACCTTTTTTCAAGGTTCTTAGCTCCCTTGCATTGGGTTAGAACATGCTCATTTAGCTTGGAGTAGTTTGTTATTACGCACCTTCTGAAGCCTACTTCTGTCAATTCGTCAGACTCATTCTTGGTCCAGTTTTGTTCCTCTGCTGGTGAGGAGTTGTGATCCTTTGGAGGAGAAGAGGCATTCTGTTTTTTGGAATTTTCAGACTTTTTGTGCTGGTTTTTCCTCATCTTTGTGAATTTATTTACCTTTGGTCTTTGATGTTGGTGACCTTCAGATGGGGTTTTTGTGTAGATGATGTCCTTTTCGTTGATGTTGATGCCATTTCTTTCTGTCTGTTAGTTTACCTTCTAACAGTCAGTCCCCTCTGCTGCAGGTCTGCTGGAGTTTGCTGAAGGTCAACTCAGGCCCTGTTTGCCTGGGTATCACAAGCAGAGGCTGTGGAACAGCAAAGATTGCTGCCTGTTCCTTCCTCTGGGAAGATTTTTCCCAGAGGGGCACCTGCTAGATGCCAGCCAGAGCTCTCCTCTATGAAGTATCTGTCAACCTCTGCTGGGAGATGTCTCCTAGTCAGGAGGCATGGGGGTCAGGGACCTATCTGAGGAGGCAATCTGTCCCTTAGCAGAGCTCAAGCACTGTGCTAGGAGATCTGCTGTCTCTTCAGAACCAGTAGGCAGGAATGGTTAAGTCTGCTGTAGCTGTGCCCACAGCTTCCCCTTCCCCCAGGTGCTCTGTCCCAGGGAGATGGGAGTTTGATTTATAAGCCCCTGACTGGGGCTTCTGCCTTTCTTTCAGAGATACCCTGCCCAGAGAGGAGGAATCTAGAGGAGCAATCTGGCTATAGCAGCTTTGCGGTGCTGTGGTGGGCTCTGCCCAGTTTGAACTTCCCGGTGGCTTTGTTTACACTGTGAGGGGAAAACCGCCTAATCAAACCTCAATAATGGTGGATGCCCCTCCTCTCACCAAGCTCAAACATACCAGGTTGACTTCAGACTGCTGTGGCGGCAGTGAGAATTTCAAACCAGTGGATCTTAGTTTGTTGGGCTTCTTAGGGGTGGGATCTGCTGAGCTAGACCACTTGGCTCCCTGGCTTCAGCCTTATTTCCAGAGGAGTGAATGGTTCTGTCTTGCTGGTGTTCCAGGCGCCACTGCGATATGAAAAAAACTCCTGGAGGAAGCTTGATGTTTGCCCAAATAGCCTCCTAGTTTTGTGCTTGAAACTCAGGGCCCTGGTGGCGTAGGCACCTGAAGGAATCTCCTGGTCTGTGGGTTGTGAAAACCATGGGAAAAGCATAGTATCTGAGCTGGAATGTACAATTCCTCATGGCACAGTCCCTCACGACTTCCCTTGGCTAGGGGAGGGAGTTCCCCAACCCCTTGTGCTTTCCATGTGAGGTGACGCCTCGCCCTGCTTCGGCTCACCCTCTGTGGGTTGTGCACACTGTCTAACCAGTCCCAGTGAGATGACCGGGGTACCTCAGTTGGAAATGCAGAAATCAACCATCTTCTGCAATGATCTCACTGGGAGCTGCATACCAGAGCTGTTCTTATTCACCCATCTTGCTATTGCTGTCCTTACATTTTTTTTAGACAGTCTCACTCTGTTACCCGGGAAGAAGGGCAGTGGTGTGATTTCAGCTCATTGAAACCTTTGCCTCCCAGGCTCAAGTGATCCACCCACTTTAGTCTCCTGAGTAGCTGGAACTACCAGCACAAGCCACTGTGCCTGATTAATTTGGTGGTTTAAAATTTTTTTTTGTAATGATGAGGTCTTACTATGTGTATGCCTTGTGTGTCACTTTTCTCACAGTAACTTTCCTGTCGGTAGAGTAATCTTATTGAGCACAGACAATAGAGTTTGCTTAGTCCTGTGGTTTATCCCTGGATTGTCATTTAAGAGAAAGGTCTAAACCTGGGCTGAATGCTGTGCACTCATAGTCCAAGCTACTTGGGAGGCTGAGGTAAAAGGATTGCTTGAGCCCAGGAGTTCAAGCCCAGCCTGGGAAACATAGTAAGACCTCATCACTAATAAATAAATAAATAAGGAAATACATAGAGGTTTCATTATATAGGAAAACAAACATGCAAAGTTTGTTCCTGGTTGCTGATAATGTTGCAAATTACCAGCAACTAGGTAATTAGCTTCTTACTGAACTGTAACAGTTAAAAATAGTTAAGATGGTAAATTTTATGCTATCTGTATTTTTTACCACAATTAAAAAAACCCTCCTGTCTTCCTCAATTCTGTGTAGTTGTCGTACATTCTTCTAAAGTTTTATTTGTATATTTTTAAGACATAACATTTATAGAAAATTTGCAATTATAGTACAATTAACTCATATGCTTTTCACCTAGACTCACCAATTGTTAATAGCTTATGCTTGATTGGTTTCATATCTCTTCCCTCCCTGTCTTACCCTGCTGTCCATGCACTCACACATGCACTCATGGATATTATGTTTACTGTTATTAATGGTGAATTGTTTAGATAAAGTTTCAGATATTATGGCCCATTACCCTATGTACTAGAGTGTGTGTATATTGCCAGAGCAAAAAAACCTCATTCCTTGGATTATTACTGCACAAAGATCAAAATCAGGAAATTTAACAATGAGAAAATGCAGTAATTTCAAATATAGTATATACTCAAATTTTGCCAGTTATTCAGACAATTTATTTCCTTTATTTATTTGAGACATAGTCTCACTCTATTGCCCAGGCTGGAGTGCAGTAGTGTGATCTCGGCTCACTGCAACCTACGCATCCTACGTTCAAGGGATTCTCATGCTTTGGCCTCCTGAGTAGCTGAGAGTACAGTTGCTGGCCACTGCGCCTTGCTAATGTTTCTCCTTTTTTTTTTAGTTTTAGTAGACATGGGGTTTGACCACGTTAACCAGGCTGGTCTTGAGCTTCTGACCTCACTGATCTGCCCACCTTGGCATCCCAAAATGATGGGATTACAGGCGTGAGCCACTGCACCCAGCACAGATAATTTCCTTTATAGAATTTCTTTTTCTAATGCAGAGTCCGGTTCAGGATCACGTATTGCATGTACTTGTCATGTGGTTTTAGTTTCCTTTAATCTGGAATGGTTCCTTAATTTTTCTTTGTCATTCATGATACGAACATGTTTGAAAAGGATTGACCAGTTGGTTTGCAGAATGTTCGGCAGTTTGGGCTTTTTCGTGTATGTTTTAAAGATTTTTCACTCAGGGTTTATTGGTGGCTACTCATGCCATATAGGAGTCTAAGTGTTGGGAGTTTAAGTGCTATGAGAGACAGGATTTCTGCCTTGAGTCATTTAATATGATATGGACACTCTGAAGTCTAAGAATAGAGAAGTGCAAAGGAGGCAACAAAGTTGTGTGAGGGCAGTCTTCGGGTAGGAAGAGGGTAATATTTGAAAAACCCTGTTTTCTGCTAAAACTCCTGAAATAATGTTCCTGGGATTTTAATGAACACATTTATTATGACACTAGCTAAGGCCTTTATTTAATAACACCAAGATCATGAATATTATATCCTTATTCATATTTCATGTTTTACTGCTTAAATTGATATATTTTTTCTTAATTTTTAAGGGCCATAGCCTGAAGTGATAGCCAGGAACAGATTCACCCAAAGACTGAGTGTAAGTGTGAAGATGGTCCTGATGTCCAGGAGATGTGCCTGCCAAATCCAGAGCAAGTGAAACCTCCAGAAGCAGGTAGGCAATTTATTAGGCATGCAAATTGTAGGGTGTTGGTTTCCACAGTATCATATTCTTCTTCTTCCTCTTTTTTTTTTTTTTTTTTTTTTTTTTGAGATGGAGTCTAACTCTGTCACTTAGGCTGGAGTGCAGTGGTGCCATCTCAGCTCACTGGAACTTCCGCCTCTCGGGTTCAAGTGAGTCTCCTGCTTGAGCCTCCCGAGTAGCTGGAATTACAGGTGTGCGTCGCCGCATCCAGCTAATTTTTGAATTTTTAGTAGAGATGGGCTTTCATCCTGTTGCATAGGCTGGTCCCGAACTCCTGACCTCAAGTGATCCACCTGCCTTGGTCTCCCAAAGTGCCAGGATTACAGGCGTGAGCCTCTGAGCCTGATCCAGCATTATATTTTTAATAACAGAAAGGTAACAATACTGCCTCCTTAATACTAGAGTTCTTCTACCCTAAAGGTTATTTAAAACGTAGTATACGCCCTAGCACCAGCCCTATAGCCTGTCAGATATAGAAACACACTGAGTCAAAGCCATCTTGAATGAAAACTTTTGAGTATAAGTCCTTAAACCAATAGCCCATAATTTTCAGACGCTTTTGTAAAGGTCTGCTTTTAACAAATACATAGTACATAACACATAACAACAGCCATCAGTTGGTGTGAAATATGCTGAAGCACTTGATTCAGGTTCTAATACCAGCTCTTACAGCATTTGTGAGATTCTGAGCAGATCCTTTAACTTCTCAACCTATCTTTGGTTTTTAAAAAATAGTGAGTTTAAGTCAGATATTTTAAAATCAATTTTCATTCTGGTTCTTTCATACTCTGATCCTTTTGGATAGAGTGCATAGGATACAGCGATCATCTGCTCTGTATGATTTGTTTATCATAAATCATCAAACCCTGACCTGTGTCATCTTAAAACCTGTGAATTGAGATTTCATTGCTACAAAGAAAGTGAGCGGCACTTGGCTTCATGTTTGTTTTCTGTGTGGAGACTTGAATACCTATTGTTAGATCCTGTCAAATTCTGAATTATTTGGCTTCTTTTGTTTGTTTGTTTGTTTGAGATAGTGTCTCTGTCACCTGATCTGGAGTGCAGTGGTGTGATTCCAGCTCACTGCAACCTCTGCCTCCCAGGTTCAAGCAATCCTCCCACCTCAGCCTCCTGAGTGACTGGAACTACATGCACAAGCCACCGTGCCTGACTAATTTTTTTTTTTTTTGCTGTTGTACATTTATTGTAGAGATGAGATCTCACTATGTTGCCCAGGCTGGGATTTTCTGGCTCTTTTTTTTATACTTTAAATTCTGGGGTACATGTGCAGAATGTGCAGGTTTGTTACATAGGTATACACGTGCTATGGTAGTTTGCTGCATCCATCCACCCATCATCTACATTAGGTATTTCTCCTAATGTTATCCCTCCCCAATCCCCCCACCCGCTGGTATTCCTCCCCTAGCCCCCCACAATTTTCTAGCTCTTAATGAATAATTGCTTTTTAAGTCTTTTTCCAATGAAACCTTCAGTGACTGAATTATCAAATGGCTTGAGACTGTTTAGTTTCTATCATCTGTGGCATGTTGATCAGTGATGCTCAGCATCAGTGTGACTAAGATGCCTGTGTTAAGCACGCTTCCTGCCCCCTGTCAGTCTTCATGAGCCACTATGTCTAATAAGACTGTAGACACATAGATGATATAATCACCTCTCACCATATCAAATGTTGTATGTAAGTTTCAGCTTTTGAGACATGAGTTGATAAGATTTGAAGTTCAAAGACCATGACTTTAATACTTTCTGAGTGATCAACTGAAGTATGTTTTACGTATGTGTTTTCCAAATTACTGACTGTTAATTATATGTGCTTCTGAATTTAAAGGAAGCTCTTGATGTTTAGGGAGGAAATTACCCTTAAGTTCTGCAGGTCTACCCTCAAAGCGTATAGAGAGGTACACTTTGGATGTAAGACACAGGAGCACCGTTAGGGCTCTGTTTTTAGTCCATTTTATGAAACCCAAAGTGTAATGTGCTTTGTATGCCTTTAGGGTCATCTAAATTATCTGTTGCTAAGTCATGTTCCCAACTGTTGTGTTTCTGTTACAGCTGAAAAGCAATCACAGCGTTAAAAGAAGACACGCTGAAATGATGCAGGCTGCTTTCATGTTGGAAATTTGTTCATTAAAGTTCTCTCAATAAAGTTTTACAGCCTTCTGCAAAGAAGTCTTGCACATCTTTTGTGAATTTTATTTCTAGGTGTTTGATGCTGTGAAATGTGTATCATTGTTTGAAATTTTATTTTCTCACTGTTTGAGCTGGTATGTAGAGACATAATGCTTATATATTGATTTTTCTATCCAGCAACCTGTTAAATATGCTTATGAATTCTAAAAGTTTACTTCTAGATCATTTTCAGTCTTCAGTACAGAGTCACATCATCTGAATAAGAACAATTTTGTTTATGCCATTTTATTTTCTATTTCCTTTTTTATTTTTTGTGGAGGGGTTTTGATATGTTTCCTGGGTCTGTTCTTGAACTCTTGAGTGTGCGTGATGCAACCGCCTCGGCCTCCCACAATTGCTGGCATTACAGGCATGGGCCACCATGCCGAGCCTATTGCTGCCATATTGAAGAATTTTATTTCCTTTTCTGATTTTATGGCATTGGGCAGACCCACTTGGTACAATGGTGATAGTGGAAATCCTTGTCTTATCCCTGATGAGAAATGGAAACATTTCAACATTTCACCATCATATTTACTGTAGTGTTTTTGGACTTTATCAGAGTAAGTCATTCCATTCTGTTCTAATTTGCTGAGAGTATTCATTTTGAATATATGTTGAGTTTCATCAAACAGTGCATCTATTTGATTACCACAGCATTTTTTTCCCATTAATCTGTTAATGTCATGAATGAGGTTGATAAATTTGTACTTTTTTATTTCCTATTTTTAAAAATGGAGACAGGATCTCACTCTGTCACTCAGGCAGGGGTTCAGTGGTGTTATCAGCGCTCACTGCAGCATTGATCTTCTTGGCTCAAGAAGAGATAATTGCACCTCAGCCTCCTGAGTAGCTGTGACTATAGGCACATGCCAAAATGCCCTGCTAATTTTTCTATTTTTCTTTTTTTGGTACTGATGAGATTTTGACATGTTGCTTAGGCTGGTCTCAAACTCCTGAGCTCAGATGATCTGCCCAGCTCAACCTCCAAAAATACTAGGATTACAGGCGTGAGACTTGGCCTGGCCAGGTTTTTCTTATATCGGGGTCTTATCAATGTAAAGACTATCTGTACCTTTGTGTGGGTAGACTAAAAGCATGATGAAACTTATCATTCTATTGATTTAAAGAAAACTTTCCAGTGTGTAAGTACGTGAAAGCATAATGATTTTTAAAGCATATATTGCTATTGGTGTTGGGACCCCTGCACTTTCCGCTGCTGTGGGAGCATGTCCTTGTAGGTACCTTCAGTCTGTTTTCTCAACTACAAACATGTTAGGGCCATGGGTTGTGACTGGTAAGGAATGTGTCTTGCTAGTTTCAAGATGGAGTTGATTTTCAAATGGTGTCACTCTGGCTGTCCTTGACTCCTGTTTCCCTAGTACTATCACTTCTCCTTCTGCGATTCTGATGCTACAAATGAGAGATGTTTGAGTATTTTCCGACAGTTTTTTCAGGTTGTATTCTTTCAGTCTCTTTCTCTGACTTGTTCAGGTTGAATAATTTCTTTTTGGGGTAGGTCGTCATTTCTGTTTTAGCAGGTGGTCTACCTGTCTTTCCAGGCAGTCACCATAGTCCTTGTCCCCATGGTTGGGCCAGGGCAAGAGGGGGCTCTGGAGAGGAGGGGGGTTCAGTTGAAGACAGAGTCAGTTTTGAGGGGAGCACTATTCGAGGTATTTGAGTCCCAGAGGCATAGGAAACAGCAGAGGGAGGTCGGATCCCATTATCCTCAGTGGTGATGGAATCAGGGGTTTGGGATGTGGGGTTGGGAACTGCAGCCCTCTCCTTCCCACCCACAGCCGCGCATGCTCCTTGGGCTCCCACCTCAGTGCGCATGTTTGCTAGTCGTCTTCCCATCAGCCCCTTTGACACGTGGAGGACGCGAGGGAGCTGTGAGGGTGTGCGGTCGTGTTTCTGCCATCCGGACTCTTTTTCCTCTAGTGACACTCATCTGGTAGGCCCGCAGGCCAGTTCTTCCGGGGACTGAAGCGTGAGTGAGGGTGAGGAGGAGGTAGTGAGCCTTGGGCGAGTCCGGCTGGTCCTGCTACGTGGTCTGTGGTCTCCGAGGGAGAAGGGCCTCATGGCCCCTGAGGAAGAAGGGCCTCCTGACCTCTGAGGGAAAAGGGCCTCCGAATGTCCCGAAAGGGCAGGGCCACGAGGTTGTCCTCCTTCTCTTCACAGGCTGTGAGGCCACCATCGGCTTTTTGATGGTGAAGGGGCCAGGAATGGGAGGAAGGTGGGCTTTAGAGGGAGGCGGTCAGGGGCCAGGTGAAGATGAGGGGAGTGCTGGGGGTGATGTTGGAGGGATGGAAGTCCTGAGGTGCCAGAACCCCCGATACAGAGCAGATCCCTGAGTTATGAATGGGGCTCCAGCGGGGCAGTGCGGGGAGATGGTGGGGAGGCAGGTGGTAAAGAAGGGGTGGCTGGGCACGGTGGCTTATGCCTGTAATCCCAGCACTTTAGACGGCCGAGGCGGGCAGATTACCTGAGGTTGGGAGTTCGAGACCAACCTGACCAACATGGAGAAACCCCATTTCTACTAAAAATACAAAATTAGTCGGGCGTGGTGGCAGATGCCTGTAATCCCAGCTACTCGGGAGGCCGAGGCAGGAGAATCACTTGAACCCGGGAGGCGGAGGTTGTGGTGAGCCGAGATCATGCCATTGCATTCCAGCCTGGGCAACAAGAGCAAGACTCCGTCTAAAAAAAAAAAATAGAAAAAAAAAAAAAAAAAAAGAGGCGGGGGGGGCTGGCATTTGCGAATGTTGCAGGCTGGTGAGCGCCCCCAAGCGGCGTGGAGCGGGACCGCCCGAGTGAGAAGCCTTGCGAGGTCTCACCTCTGGGCCGGAAACAATGGGAAGGACTGGGCGGGGCTGTGCACTCCGAGCAAACTAGATTTGAGTGGGTGAATGGCTCTTGTAAATGGGATTGTGTCAAAAGCAGCAGTCATGAGAATTGTGATTCACTAATGTTTTCATGTGAAGTCCACTTGTGAACCAAAACCTCATCTGAGGAGGGAAGATCCCTTGAGCGGGGAGGTCGAGGCTGCAGTGAGCTGTGATTGCATCACTGCACTACAACCTGAGCAACAGAGCCAGACGGCGCATCCAAAAGAAATTTAGGAAAAAATGGCCTCTGCCTTTTGCCATACGCCTTAAGATGATTGTTCTGCTAGCATGGCCAACGTAAGTGGCTTTGCAGGCGCTCAGAAAAGGTACATACATATGCTTAACTCTGGGACTTATTGTGAGAGTATTTTCAAAAATAAAACGACAAGTTAACATTTAGCCATGAAAGGGATCCAATATAGCTGTCCTCTCAAGTGCATGCTCCCAATCATGGTTTTCTGTTTTCAGTGTTTCGGTGTGAAATATGAGTTGGCGAGGAAGATCAACCTATCGGCCTAGACCAAGACACTATGTGGAACTTCCTGAGGTAATTGGGCCTATGCTGGTGAGTGTTTTAATGTTAGTTTGATATTTCCTATTAGCAGAAATTAATATTTGTGATGGTGTTGTTGCATTGGTATATAGACACTGATAAAAGTCTTTCATGCTGATAAAAAATGATTATGGCGTCTTATGAAGGGAACATTGAATCAGGAGGATTTTGTTTTTCTCTTGCGTTCTTCAGCTTTTGCCCATGACTTCTTTCTCATGCTTTCCTTGTTAATGACATATTGTACACATCAATTCCCACACAGAGTATAATAGCTTCCAAAGTCCTCGTGGGTCACTTTTCTCACAGTAACCTGCCTGTGTGTAGAGTAACCTTATTGAGCATAGACAATAGAGTTGGAGAAATGTCTTTAGGCTTAGTTATGATCAGAAATATTTATGTATTCTGTATACATATACACATAAATATAATCATGTATTAATAACAAAACTTCTTAAAAATTTGCACACACACACACACTCACACACACACACCCCCCACACATTCCCTAGCCCGAGCAGTTTGGTGATAAAGAAGTGGAACCACCAAAACCTGAAGAAGGGGAACCAGCAACTGAAAGTCAGGATCCTGCACCTGCTCAGGAGAGATAGGACGAGGGAGCATCTGCAGGTCAAGGGGAAGGGAAAGGGAAGAAGAATGCCTGTTGCCGGGGGTGGGGGTGGGGGTGGGGGGATGGGGGGTGTGTCTCATGCATTGCCACATAGCAGGGACAGGAGGAAAGAAAACAATGGAAAGAATGCCTGAAATTGACTGGAAAAGTGAGGAAGGTATGTAGTTTGCATCTTAGCTTAGGGAAATCCCTCACTATGATAAGATGTCTCCCCTTTATGAAAGAGAATGTAGGCTTGGGCATTGTGTTTTATCCATGAAACCTTGACTTGTGAATGCAAAGTTTGTATTTTATTCCAAAGTTTGTGTCTTCCTACCATCTATGTTGCTATATAAAAAGTAAATGATTTTGCTGAGAATCTTAAAACTCAAATGGTTTACTGTAAGGTTGCTTAGTACTGTCCCAAGAATAGACCCAGTTCAGAGGAGCAGGTGCAACTCTAAAAACTGAGTCACTGAACATTGGCCACTATTTCCTTAGATTGATATTTTTATATGGTAAGTTTCATAAAAGCTGGATAAATGGGATACTGCCATATAGGAAGCTGGTTTAGTATGATTTTCTAAGTGGGTTTAGGAAGTGACTAAATCATTTTATGGTTAGAAAAATCAAAAAAGGCATTATTCTGAGATTAACATGAGGTAGAAGTAATTTCCCCTAGATAACGTAGTTTGAAACCAAACATTTATGTAACTCAGGTCATGGATTATTCTAGGGATTCACTGTTAAAGGTTTCTAGAATATGACTGACAACAATGCCCATTAATTGCTGTCCACCCACTCCCTTATTCTCAATGTGGGACATCATATTTGCTGTAATTCACAAACCATCTTATTTTTGGTGCTTTGTTCTACATGGGGTTCATTTATGAAATATTACATTTAGGACCTTTGGACCTAAATATGACTTAATTTGAAGAAAGTTAAGTTTCTGTTTACCCCAATAGGTAATGGGTGTCATGACTGTACGATTTTTTGTAGTTCTCAAATCCATTCAGCTAATGAATCCTCAGAAATTTACATTGTAATTCTAACTGAAATCCTGTCAATTTTGTAGACTTCAGATTCCTTAGCTAATGCCCACTGCTCTTAGTATTCTATGGCTGAATATAAGCATTGTGCAAGTCCTGTGGTTGATGGAGAGAGAGAGAGAGAGAGAGAGAGAGAGAGAGAGAGAGAGAGAGAGGTTTCATGATATAGGAAAAGTGCAATATTTGTTCCTAGCTGCTGGTAATGTTATAAACATAGCTCCTTACTGAATTTTAACGCTTACAAATAGTTAAGATGGTAAATTTTATGTTACGTGTATTTTTTTTAACCACAATTAAAAATAAAAACTCTTGCCTTCCTAAATTTAGTGTAGTTGTCATATAGTCTTCTAAATTTTTATTTGTATATTTTGAAGACATAACATTTATAGAAAATTTGCAATTATACTACAATTAACTCAAATACTTTTCACCTAGATTCACCAACTGTTAATAGCTGTTGCTCCATTGGTTTTATATCTGTTCCCTCCCTGTCTTACCCTGCTGCCCACACACTCACTTATGGATATTATGTTTACTGTTATTAATGGTCAATTGTTTAGATAAAGTATGACCCTTTTCCTTATGTACTTGAGTGTGTGTATATCATTAGAAGAAAGGAAAAGTCATTCTTTGGATCATCACTGCACAAAGATCAAAATCAGGAAATTTAACGAGAAAATGTATTCATTTTAAATACAGTATATACTCAAATTTTGCCAGTTATTTGGAAAAGTTCCTTCTCTCCCTCCCTCCCTCCCTCCCTCCTGCCCTTCCTTCCTTCCTCTCTCTCTCTCTCAATCTCTCTTTCTCTCTTCTGTGTTACCTAGCCTGGAGTGCAGTAGTGCCATCTCACCTCACTGCAACATACATGTCCCAGGTTCAAGGGATTCTCATGCCTCGGCCTCCTGAGTAGCTGGGACAACAGTTGTCAGCCACTGGGCCTGATTAATGTTTCTCCTTTTTTTTTTGTAATTTTAATAGAGATGGGGTTTTACCATGTTGGCCAGGGTGGTCTTGAACTTTTGACCTCATCTGATCTACTACCTTGGCATCCCCAAATGCTGGGATTACAGGCTTGAGCCACTGCGCCTGGCCCAGATAATTTCATTTATAGAATTTCTTTTTCTAATGTAGGGTACAGTTGAGGATCACGTATTGCATATACTTGTTATGTGGTTTTAGTTTCCTTTACTCTGGAATGGTTCCTTAAATTTTCTTTGTCATTCATCATATGGACATTTTTTTTTTTTTTTAAATAGAGGATGTCCTCTAGATATGGACATTCTTAAAGCAGATAGATGAGTTGATTTGTAGAATGTTCAGCAGTTTCGGCTTTTTCGTGTATGTTTTAAAGATTTTTCACTTAGTGTTTATTCGTGGCTATGCAGGCCATATAAGGAGTGTAAGTGCTATAAGAGACAGGATTTCTGCCTTGAGTCATTTCATACGATAAGGACACTGAGAAGTCCGATAACAGAGAAGTGCAAAAAAGGCAACAAAGTTGTGTGAGGGCAGTCTTCGGGAAGGAAGGGGATAATATTTGGAAAACCCTGTTTTCCTGTTTTCTGCTAACAGACTCCTGAAATAACATTCCTGGGATTGTTATGAACACATTTATTATGACACTAGCTAAAGCC